TGAAGATAGGAAATGCTTTGCCAAGGTAGGCATGGATTGCTAGCCTATCGTAGCAGTATGTTATCTTCAAAGCAATCCTTACACAGAACATGGTAGAGCATACAAAGGGCGTAGGTTAGTCCTGGTGGACAGTGGTTAAGTGCAGTATTGCAGGCAAATTCTCCCATAGTCTGGAGTTAGATCCTGATAGGATTCAGGGTTGACTCAAGCCTTCCATCCTTCCAAGATTGATAAAGTGAAGACCCAAATTGTTGCAGGCAATATGCAAATAATGTTTACATTGTAAAGTGACCAGTAAGTGCTATAAAGCACTATGGGGAAGTATATAAACTTAAATGTTATTGCTGTCTTGCAGTAATTTTTGGTGTCTGTCTATCCCACATTCTGGGAACAAGCCCAATTCTACATTAGTAAAGGTAAATAAGAGGTCACATTTATTTGCCCAATTGCAGCTTGTATGTGAGGAACTGTAAACTGGATAAATTTTTCAAGGGAAACTTAAAAGACACCTCCAATTATATTTGTTTAATTAGAATTCTTCTCATTTCTTTCTTCAGTATGCATTAGCCAAGTTAAGATATAAGTTAATAACTGTAAATCTGATATTACTAACTTGGTTAACAAAAGAGTACTAATAGGTTGTATAGATGAAAAGAATAACATAATTTTATGCAGGTTACCTTCTAATGAATATCTTTGCTTCTATACTAAATGACACCTTCAAAGAATGCTTATTCCATTATTTCTCCATTCCCCACTCCCTTTTTTCCATAGAAAATTGTAATCTGTATAATTCTAGATTTTGAAAATGTTCCTCAAAATTAGGAAACAAGCAGGGTTTTTAACCTTTTAACTGCTTTCCTGTTATATATCTATTTGGTGATTGAAAATAATGGAAATTTCAGCTCAGAATTGCAATAAGTCTTTGCCTTTAGGTATTTATTTACCAAGTGAAGATAATTTGCTAATCTTTTTTAAAAAAAAAAAACAACCTTTGAATTGTTTTGTATTTCAGGCATTGTCAAAAATGGGGCACCTGTGGCAAAAGTCTCACACAATCTGGGTGAATGTTGGAGGCCTCTGTGCTGCTGTATATCTCCTGAAACGCACCTCAGAAATAATTGAGCAGAGAAAATCATATTGGTAACGTTTTAAACAGACTTAACACTCTTCCATAATCCAATAGTTTTACTTGAGATTTCAAATTGGCCAGTGTTTCAAAATTAAGTTGGTTCAGCAAAATGAACTACCGAGTAAACATACTGTGCCAAATCCAACTTGAAGCTCTTGGAGGCAATTATATAGGAAAATGTAGTAAGTTGATAAAGCTTGCAGTTTTACTATCAGCCTGAAAATGACAGTTACTGTGCAAAAGTGCAAATGCTTTCATATTCATAAGGCAAGCTACCCAGTTTGGTGAAAAGGTTAATAATAGGAGTTTCAGAAGAGATACTTCAAAATATAGTGTTAAGAGGATTGTTTTCTTTAATATTGTTCAGTTTAGAGTTTCTTTAGGTAAGAGAGTATATAATATTTTGCCACTGGAGAATTGCCTTCAGTTTATTTTGTTTGACATCCAAAATAAGGGCAACAAAGTTAGGACAGTTTTACAAACTTTATTGTCCAAAATATGGACAATAATGTTAGTACAGTTTTACTAACTTTTATAAGCTCTGAATTACACTCTGGGATCTCACTAATGTTGTTTCCTTATCTATTGTCTAAATGTAAGAGTTAAATCTTTTGTTTATTGTCATATGCTTGTTATAGTTTTAACTGAGAAGGTGTTGTATGAGTCTTTATATTCTCCTTTGTCATTGTTTTAATTCAGATTTCAGGCTAAAAATGCAGTAATAAATTTTATATGTATTGTTGATTGGAACTTGTAGGATACATGAGAATATTTATAATAAGTTAACTTTAACCTGAAAATAATAGTTAAAGAATGTGCTTAGTAGCTGAATTGACAATAACTTGTAATAATTCTCAAACATGATCCAAACTAACAAGATCTATACAATAAATATACATCCTACAATCAGTTTGTTATTCCATACTCTTGCAAAGCTTTCTTTTCTTCTCATATTAGTTGTTGATATTCACTAGCTTCTAACATTTTTTTTCCTTTATATAATAAAGTTTTTACCAGGATCATCTCTCCTCATTTTCCTGGTGTTTATTTTCATACATATCAAACAACCCAAGCATTTTTTTGTAAGGCAGGTTATTTAGGTATACTTGTTCATATTTAACAACATAATTCAGAAAAAATCAGAAACTGTTATTCATATTTACAATTATATTCATTCCTTTTAATGTATAACTAAGAGTTTAAAGCAGGTATATTCAGTCTCTTAAAAATTAAATAAATACTTGAATAATAAATATGTTCTAATGAAGCATTTTTGAGAAAAGCAAACGTAGAATCAGTTTTGATTCTTGCTCTGCCCCGTTGAAAACCAACCTTTTATAAATGAAGAACATGTAATTAAACATCTGTTTTGTAAGTGAAGGGTTTTGAAACTAGATGTGATTGGACCCCTTTTAATTAGTGATACCTCAATTGCTTGATACATATAACTTTAAACCTAATCCTTCAACCAGATTCATTAAGGGATATTCTTAGTTTTGAATACAATAAAGACATCTGGCAATTCCTATAGAAAGAAGAGAAGAAACGTGTCTTTCACTTTATTAGAGGCAGGTAGCAAAGAAAATATTTTTAGGATCTAACTGCACATGTAAGAGCTAAGTCCCAAGAGCTAATATGTGCTTATATCTTGAGTTTTGCTGGATATTTATATATTTATTAGATTTATATCCCTTTTATTTTGCCCCCTCAAGAACAACCTTAAAGTAGTCTGGGCTGGCAGTCGGTGGCATCTGGAGCTGCTCTATTGCACTCAGGAAGCTTCCATAGCTAAAAGTAACTTGAATCTGGGACTCCAATGTCACAAGCATGTACTAAAAAGTTGCCTTGAATGCATTTTCGTATGAAGTATTATGCTTCATACTCAACAAAGAAAGGTGGCTGTATATAACCTTTGGTGTTGTAAAACAGGCTTCTGTCTGCATAAGCAAGGTAAAGAATTTCCTTGTAAATGGTTATTTCAAAATTGTAAAAGAAATGAGATTTTTCTTTTGATGTGGCTTTAGTTAAACTTTTCTGAAAGTAAACTGATCCAACTCACTTCCTTGATGTTAAATTTTCAGAACGTTTAAGAATGTTCTTGAATAATAAAAATGTTTCAAGAACTCACAGCTTGGGAGAAAAAGACATTGAAAACTCCCCTATTTTGTTCAGCTCTCCTCAGCCCCATGATCATTTTTCTTTGGAAAGAAATGAGTTATTTTTTTTTTTAAAGAAATAAACGGACTTATATCCTACCTTTCTTCCAGGAGTTCAAGGGAGGAGAAATAGCTCTCCCTCCTCCATCAAAATTTAAAACTGCATGTTCCTGTTGCGATCAACTATTAACCAATTTTAAAACACTATATCATTATTTGGCCAATTCACAATCATAATTTTATATCACACAATCCATGTAGTATTAAGAAATGCATATGTTTTAACTATTAGCAAGGACAGTGACAGTGTGTGGTATAAAAGAAGGGAAAGATGGCTGAAGAGAAAAGTTGAATTTACTTCTGGCCTAGAACCCCAACAGATTTTTCATGTGGGAATGGGATTCTCAAAGTTGCAACAGTGACAGCACAGAAGTTGTCACTGGTTTTCTTCTGCAATTAGCTCTTTACATGGAAAAACCTATTCTGTACTGAAGGCTACTTTTGAAGCCCCTCACTTCAGTTGCTTATATTATGGCTTTGACTTTATTTGAAGAAGGGAAGGGGAATACAGTACCATTTTTACTCTGCCATACAACCTAGACAGTGGATACCATGTGGTCGTTGGAGGATATTTTGATCCCAGAGTGGAAAGAGTACTTTCCCCCCCAAAAAATATATGTGGTTAACTAGACAACTGTGATATAATAGGTGCAAACAATTCTGGTGTTGGGATATACCAGTAGATGAAGATTCCATTGTCTTTCATGACCTCTGTGCTCACATTCTCATTTTTGTATATTGGAATTACACGTCATTTGACACAATCAAATGTATCTCTGTATCTGGCATCAAAATTAATCTATTATGAATTGTCAAAAATGTTTTATGCACTTTTGTAACTCACCTGGAAAACACTACTTGTGAGATGGATTTTAAAAATTTGAAGATGCGAACAAGGTAATGAATTTATTTTCATCAAAGGAGAATATAGTAATAGCCACCAGTAAATTTTCAGAGCAGTTTAAAATATGTGATTTAAAATACTTTTTAGGGTGGCTAAGATGCTTAGCTTGTCCATCAGAAGGTTGGTAGTTTGAATCCCTAGTACTACGTAATGGAGTGAGCTCCCGTTACTTGTCCCAATTTCTGCCACCAACTTAACAGTTCGAAAGCATGCAAAAATGCAAGTAGAAAAAATAGGAACCACCTTTGGTGGAAAGGTAACAGCATTCCATGTGTTTAGTCATGCCGACCACATGACCACAGAGGTCTTCCCACAGTGCTTGGCTCTTTGGCTTTGAAACAGAGATGAGCACCGCCCCCTAGAGTCGGGAACGATTAACACATGTGCGAGGGGAACTTTTACCTTTACCTAAAATACTTTTTGGAACTAACCAGATGGTCAATAACAAGTGCTGGGATTTTTTTTAAAAACCGTTTCTGATAGTTGCTTCCCAGTTTATTAATTCAAATCTCAGCCAAAATATTCCCTTACTAGGAACCATTTTATTATAGGATTATAATGTATCTTTCAAGCAATTGTTGCAAAGCAGCCATACGCTGTTTCCCCCACCCTCACCCTCACCCCCTAAAGCGAACATGAGCCTACCACACGTCCCTCCAAAACATCCGAACTGCGCAAGCGCTTACGGGTCCTCGCGTCTAAGGCACGCGATTTCCGCAAAACAATGGCTGCCGGGGGTGCGCATGCGTGGAACGGCGGGGGGTTGTTTCTCCGCAAAATAATGGCTGCTTGCGTGCGCTGCCGTCCGCGCGCGTAAGTCTTCCCCGGTTTGGGTCGCGGGAGCTACCGGGACCGGAGGCGCTCAGAATGCCGCAGAGACCTGGGGAGGAAGAGGAGGAGGAGCGAGAACGGGAAGACGCTGCTCGGCGTCTGTGCTCGGTAAACAACCGGGAGCCTAGTCAAGTTATTTTCTGCAACCGCACCCCCCGCTTGGTGAGACCCGTCTGGCTGGACTTCGACGGGAAGCCGCGCCCCTATCCCACCCTGAAGCCAGGCACCGGCCGCCGGATGTACAGCTACCTGGGTGGGTAGTTTGCGGAGGGGGCGCTTCGGGCGTTTAGCACTTTGCGGTCGGCTTAACAGACGCGGCGCGACATGCGGATCGCCGCCTTTCCGCCGTCGGGTTGTTAATCCCTTTGCAAAAAGGGGACTAATGTTGCAAAATGTTTATTAGGGAAATCCTTCCACTTCCCGGAGCCCCCGAGAGGCAACTAAAAAGACGGAGATGCCCGATTCTCTGCACAGGAGGCGACGGGTTTTGCAAGAAGCCGTGGGGTGCCGCTGAAGTCATGAGGTCTGCAGGGTTAGCCTTTGAACAAGCTGGCCTTTCGGTGACTTCAACTGCACATAAATGTGCGGGGTGCGGACGGGGAACAATGCGTTGTCTCTGCTGAAAAGCTTAGAAAAAGTGGCTTTTGTAATGATACTGGATGTGCCTTGACAGTGATTGCAACAGTCCTGATTTGTGTGGATCCCCCCCCCTTTTTAAAAAAAAAATCTTTCCCGTCTGCGTTGTGAAGAAAATGCCACTTTTCCCCTCCTTAGCTCTGCTTTTGAGTAGATTGTGTTTCTCCATTTAGGAGGGAAGCTGGCAGAGCTCCCCTCAATTGTACCTTTAAAAAGAGTCAGGAAAACTATACAAATGCAGACCTTCATTTGTAGTTGCCAGGGCAAATTGAGAATGCCAGCGTACATTTCTGAGCCCCAGAAAGGGTGGTTGTTCCTGCACTGGGTAAGCAGGAAAACCCTATGAATGCATATTCAAGGGACTGATTCTGTAAAATATCTTTATTATAAAGGTGTGTGGGTGGGTGTCTTCTTATATTTCAGTGTAAATATAAACATTGCTACTTGCAGCATCAAAACCGGTAGAAATAATAACTGAAATGGAGTAAAAAACAGAAATAGCATGTAGTATTTTTTTTTAATGGAAAGATCTAGGAAATTAAAGAAACAAACCAGGATACTAATAGATAATGGCCAGATTAGTTGCCAAATGAATCACAGCCTGTGAAGAAGGCAAGCACAAGCCATTCTGAAAATGCTGCCAAGAAATTTGGGATTTGTCTAGTCAAGGGTGACTCAAAACACACTCACAAATATTAACTGTATCTGCATAGTTACTTGTGTGTCATTCTAGTTCTTACAATCCTCATTATACTGGTAATTGTCTTCCATTCCGTATAAGTCTTAATCTTTGCTTAACCCTATAAATTACATCCCCTTCCAGCAATCTTTATAGCTACAAAAATGTGTGACTTTTCAGTATATGTATATGACTTGCTAGCAGATACTTTATTTTTTTCTTTTCTAGAACATCTTTGGTTGTTCAGAGATGCCAGGTCAGATGATAGTCTCCTTGTCAACCAGACAGAGTTGTTCGTAGCTACTCGCAATATAAATGAACAACCCATATTCGCAAATATTACATTGCCAGGTAAAGTTAGCACTGAATATCTGAAATAAGATTACATATAGTTTTTTTCTATTGTATGATGAAAAACAATGCAATTACTAAATAGCAGTTTGGTTCTCTTCTTTTTGTCTGAAAAAAGCAACAACTGAAATTCTCTGAATTTCTGATGTCTCTCATTTTGAGGATAATATCAACTGCACCAAATCTTTTTAGTTTTCCTTTCCCTCTCATCTCTTTCTTTCTTCCTTCATATATTTCTTATTCAGTCTTTATTTATTCTCGCTGTGACAAAACCACCCCAGTGTGCTACTTTAGATTCAGTAAACACAGCATTTATTTTTACTCCATCTTTTCTTGTTTTATTAGATAAAGTTCTTAAGCATCTCATTCCCACTTCATACAACATTTATATTTTCTCCTGACATACTCAGCTTTCACTTCCATATAACGAAGTGGCCATAACTACCCTTTTAAAAATAGCCTTTTCATTTCTTTCAACAAACATCCATTCTTTCAATATATCACCTATCAGCACATGCATATCTTAAAATTTGTTGATCTGTGTTTCCAACTTTAATGAGAAATTCTACTGACACAAATGCATCAAGTTGCACATATATATATACATATGTCATATATAACTAGCAATTATTCAGTCTGTTTTCTCAATCACAACTGCCTTGATTTGTAATACATTATCTCCAGAACTAATCCTCTGTTGAAAATCCACTGCAAATCTAGTAGATAAATACTGTTTCTCAAGCAGTTTCTATAATTGTTGCTGTTTCTCTTTTTTAAAAGACTAATTAGCTAGTTTTAAAAGCTAATAAGAATATTTGATCTTTAAACTTGTTTCACATTAGTTTTTGAGTATCTTAAGCCAAACATTAAAAGTCCATTCTTCTCTCGATAGTATTCACTCTGAAGGAAAGATGTCTACAAGTTATCCGCACATTAGTGAAACCAGGAAACTACAGGGAATTAGACATTGTTCGTTCATTATATGAAGATCTAGAAGATTATCCAGACATTAGGAAGGATCTTCAGCGGCTTTCTGTGGAAAGGCATAACGGGCTGAGGAATAGAATCTCTGATCGACGTGAGGAGTCTTAAATGAAAAAGCTACTTGGACTAATAAACTACTGTGTACAAGACGTAATAACAATATTTTATGAATGGAAAAGACAGCATCGACTTTCCATTGTGTATTACTTAGCTTTTGTTTGATTTAGCCTATGTAAGTTATATGTTGATAGGCAAAGACAATGAGTCAAAATGCCACCAGGCCATAGCTAAAAACACTTCAGTAAAACAAAACATTAGGGAAGGTATGGAACTTTATTTAGATATACAGGAAAAGGTGAAGTGTTTCCAAAGCTGCTTCCTGGTGGTTCTCCACATATTCCAACTACTGTCTTATTATTTTATTGTAAAAACTGAACTGTGAACAAAATAATCCTCATATTTAAGAGTAAATTACTATTAAATGTTTCACCCCTCTATATTTATCTTACAAATTGATTTTGAGGGACAAGAACATTAGGTTGCCTTTTATTATTATTATATTTCCTGTAGATTATTGTTATTGCTGCAGATATCTGACATAAATAGAAAAAGATGGAAATTCCGTGAATGAATGTCATGAAGTAATGAATGTTACTTCCGTTAAAGCAAGGAGTAAGCGTTTTCTTAGCTAGCATTTTTTCCATTGCCACTAACCCGAAAATCTAACAACTATATGGCAGACATAGTTTTATGATAAACCACAATTTAACTTTGGTTTAAGTCTCACTATAGAAGTAAAACTGGATGAAATAAATATGAAAATAATAACTTCCACTTCTTTGATGTTCCAGCCAGAAGATCATGACCAGACCTAAACAATACGAAGAAAACTTCCTGAATTTCCTATGCTTCCTCAGTTCATTGCACTACAGGTTGCCCTTGATTTATAACTTCATTTAATAACAGTCCGGAATTACAATGTCCTTGGAAAAATGCTTTGCAGCCCATAAAGCAATTCTGACCATTAGAAAACATTGCCTCACCACCCTGCAGTAATGTAATCCTGATCTGGGTGCTTGGCAACCTCTTTGCATTTATGACCAGGTTATTGCCAAGTGCCTTACGATCATATGATTGGCATTTGCAATCTTCTGTGCCAGCTTTTTTAGAAAATCTGTGGGAAAGCCAGCAGGGAAGGTTTGCAAGCTGCTGCCATTCTCATCTCTGAGGGCTGTCTGAAAGAGCCGCTTCCCAAGGGAAGCTGAACCCCTTTAGCAGGATGCAGAAATGGAGCTAAAAATCCTCAATGGAGTTCAGCTCCATTCCTACACCCTGTTGAAAGAATTCCCTTTCATGTACAGAGGGGAGCTGAACTCCTTTCAGTCAGCCTCCACGGTAAGGAACCGAAATCCAAGCAGGGAATAAAGCGTCAAAGTAGCAAGGAAAGAAGTGGGGGATGACATATGGGGGAAACCTACTGCAGCCTGTGCATGAGTGTCTCTACTCAGTCTGCAAATTTTGCTTGGATTTTGCAAGGGTAATTTTCAGCTCCTGACTGGAGCCTGTCTGGGTTTCTTCTGTCCTCCTGAGGCACCCTGCACTCCTTATCTGGTACTCCGCTTAACAACCCACACACTTATTTAACAACTATAGTCAGGTGTGCCAGGATTGTAATCATTGAGCAGAACATCTTGTTTAACAACCACTGCTCAATTACTCCTATCCAAATTGTGGTCATAAGTCAAGACTACTATATACCACACATCCCCAAAACTCTCCATTTTAATAACTTTCTAGAGCATGCTGAGGTAATGTTCAACTGCTTTATAAAATATTTTTGTTTTGAGGTTTAGCAGGTGATACATGGAATCACTGTTGTTCAATTTTCCAGTCTCTTTTCTATATAGCTACTGAAAACTAATTTTTAGAAATATTTTTACGTTATTTGGTGTCAGCAAAGAGTGCTTTCACTATTTAATCTTAAACTTTCAAGGTGGAATAATTGAGGTGAGGGACCAATGTTTGGATATCATTTTTTCAAGTAAGGCATGTTTGTTAAATAATTTCATGTCCAAAATAGTTTCTAAAGTGCATAATTTGTGTACACATGAACGTTGGGGGCTAGAACTTTGTGTAAATAAGATACTCCTGTTTTAAATCAGACAGCAAAAATAGCAACATAAAACAGGAAGAAGGTCTTTATAAAAATGAAGTACATAGCAGCTCAGTTTTAGTACCTTAAATACTTAGTTCTGTATCTGAGTTCTTACAATAAAACATGTTGTTAATGTGAAATTGGGCACATCATTACTTTTGTGTAATTCTATGTTTGATATAGAGTGATAATAGTTGTCCAGGCTGGCCTATTTGACTTCTATTTCTGAGTTGTTAAGAATTGCTTTTAATGTATATCTGATTATTTCTCAGCATTCCATATAATGCAGTTTATCTTTTTTTAAAAATCCTTGAAGATATTAAAGCAGCTTGTTAGTTGGATCTGTTTTTTTTCTTTTCTCTCCTGCCCCTTCAGTTTGTATAAATATGTAAAATATAGACTATGTTAATGCACACTAAGCCATTGTTTATAAAATTCATTATCTGGATACGTATCAAATGGTAAGCCACAAACAGACAAGTCATGTTTTGTCTTTCCAGATTATATGAAGTCAAGCATATTGTTACTTTTGCTAGTTTCCTACTAGATTCTTAAGCAATGCAAGAAAGCACTTGTAAGAAACAATGCCCCCACACTAGGAAGCACAATGAGCTAATTGGCACTCTTTTCCTTTTAATGCCTACAGGTGTCTCAGGGCAATGCTTACTTTTCTTGACAAAGTACATTTCTTAGCAGTGTTTGGCTAGAGATTTGCATTTCTCTATTTTTAAAATGGGATTAACTTCTGCTTTTTAAACTCCTCTTTTAAAGCAATGCAGATGAATAGATCCAGATATCACAATGGTTACTCTTAAGTAGCACTACTTACATGAAACAAATAACTTTTTAGATATATATTTAATTGGTAATGCTTTACAATAAGGATGGGCAATATGTGATGAAGCTGAAGTGACCACATTTTGCTTTGATGTCCGGCTCCTGTCTTCGTTTAAAAGAGTGGCTCCAAAAGCTCTCTCAGAGTTCACTGTTACCATCTTAAAAGATCCGTTAAATGTGGAGCTATTTATCAAAAACACTTGGTTTTAGGTGACAACTTTAAGACTTGTGGACTTCAACTCTCAGAATTCCTCAGCCGGCCATGAAGTCCTCAGGTCTTGGCCAAGGTTGGACACTCCTGCATTTAGGCCCTGCATCTACCAAAGTTACACTGTTATGTCAGAGGTATACAGGATTTTTGGGGAGTTGGGGGGCAGTGCACAACTTTGGAACTTGGAGAGCATGTTATGGGCATCCTAAAATGCTCATGACCAACATGGCTACCAGTAAACTAAACCACCCAATTAATAGAAGCCCAAGGAAAATCTATTCCTTCTCATGCTCCCTAATCGCTTTCTCTCCATTGTGTCATTAAAGGAGTGCTAAAAAGAAAAACCAAGGGGAGCAGGGAGCTTTATGTACTGACAGGCATGGGGGTACATTGGCACCCATCCTTTGTAATGACATTATATCCAGAGGCGTGCATCTAAAATAATATCACACTGACTTTTCAACTAGGACATACATGGATTGGAACTAATTTTATTGATTTGAAGTAAGAAAATGAAAGGCAGAAGCCATGTGTAGAGTTTTATCAATTGTTTAAAGTTTTAAAATGTTTAATTGTTATAAATAATTTGTAATCTTGTGAGTTACACAAATGAGAACAAGATTATATTACATTCCAATGGACATATTTTTTTTGTTTTTTTATGTACGTGCTTGTTTTACCATTGCTCCTGCAAATCAGCTTTGGACATTGCACTTGAGAAATTGTTACACTAATAAACTTTTTCCTAGAGTTTGTTACACATTCTTGCGCGTGTGTGGGATGGGGAGGACAGATATTCTGCTATATTAGTGAATGACATCAAAAAAGGGAACAACTCAGCTGGCAGATAAAATCCCTAAGGCTGTGTTCTGACTCAACTCCCCAAACACAACAAATCCTCTGCAGTCAAAGCAATGATTCATTTATTAGGAGCACCAGCAGCCCCTACAAAAAGTTTCTCTTTCACCTCGGGTTAACAAGTCCGTCCTGCAGGGGAGATGAATAGTTGTCTGCCACATCTATTCATCTCCGTCCCCTGCCTTTTATCCCCAGAGCTAGGGCGGGGCTTCATTAGCAGCGGTGGCTCTTCCTTCCCAAGGATTGACCCACGGATTTCCACTGCTCTCCTCTCCTCTGCCTTCTGTGCATCCACGCATCAGGCACTGGACCCAGCTGTTCCTCCTCTTCTTCATCAGCCACATCCAGACCTGGGGGCTGTTGACTCCCATTTGAGGGCTGACGGATGGCCCAGATTCCGCCTCTGTCTCTCTCTGCCAACTCCATTCCCTCTGAGCCCTCAGGTTGCCTTGATGCTGACCCTGATTCCCATGTCTCCTCATCTATTCGGCTGCTGGAAAGGCTGGCAGCTGACCGGCCCCACAGGCTGTTCCCTCCCCTGGGTGGGTCTCTGCAGCTGGTATAAAAGGTATGATGGATTCTTTATTTTCCACAGAAGTGTTGTTGGAACCGAATACTATTTTATATGTTCTATGTCCCAGGGTGCATGCAAAAATTTTGGCATTCTCTAAAGATTTCAGGATCCTAGGAATCCCTTGAGATACCGCCTGCTGCCAATTACCTCCCACAGACCCATCAAATCTCACAGGGTTGGCCTCCTCCGGGTGCCATCTACCAGCCAAT